GTGTCACACATCTGTAGTGAGGGGAAGCTCATTTAGGCCTGGGATACTATCTAAGTGCCACCCATTCTGGTTGCTACTTAAGTTTTATGGAAGCACGCAAGAGCTGGGAGAATGCTCAGATGGTCGAGCACAGCATGCTGCGCATAATCTGAGCCCCAGGCTTGGTCCTGGGACCATTCGCTCCCCTCTTAACTTTATCATTTATTTATTTGCTTTTTGGGTAACACCCGGTGTTACACAGGGGTTACTCTTGGCTCTGCACTCGGGAATTACCCCTGGCGGTGCTTGGGGGACCATATGGGATGCTGGGACTCGAACCCGGTCAGCTGCGTGCAAGGCAAATGTCCTACCTGCTGTGCTATTGCTCCAGCTCCTTCCCTCTTAACATTAAAAATGGGGAGGCAGGGAACTAGCACTGGGCCAAAGGTGATTCTTTCTATGTAGTTATGTCCTGCCTTGATGGCATTCCCACATGGGAGGCCTCCAGCACTACCAGGTATGGCCCTGGAGCCCTGTGGGGAAGCCCTGGTGGTCCCTGGCACTGCACTGAGCTGCTGGCCTGGCTCACCAGATATCACCAGGAGTGATCCCTGAGCTCTCTGATTTCTGCTTGTGAGATCCCCCCCCCCAAAAAAAGGAAGGAAAAGTCCTACAAGACAAATACATTCTATTTCTTATTTCAAAAAATTATTTTTGAATACCCGTGAGATGAACCATTACAAGGCTGCTCATGATTGGGATTCAGTCATGCAATGATTCAACACTCATTTCTCTACCAGTGTGTACATTTCCCACGACCCCTTTTCCCTCCCACTATCCCCCAACACCCCCCCTACATACACACACCTCCAGTCTACCTCGATGGCAGGCACTTTTCTTCTTTCTCTTCCTCCTTTTCCTTTTGTGCGTTATGGTTTGCAATACAGGTACTGAGAGGTCATCGTGTTTTTGCAGGGCATTCGGTATTTTCATCAGGATGGTAAGTCTGGAGTAGCTTTTTAACTCTATGGTAGCTTTGGGGTGTGACATGCATGACTGCCAAGGCTTCCCAGAAGTACAGGGAGGTGGAAGGAAGTAGCCCATCCCCAGCCTGAGAAATCCTGGAGGTTTTAGTCACAAAACCTGAATACCCAAATTTTCAGCAGATTATATCTTCATGAGGCCTATTCTGAGAAGGTGAAGTCAGGCTGGGGCATGGTGGTACTTTTGGATTGTGGAAGCAAGCAGCTGCCGGGGGCTCTGCTTGGGCAGACACCAGGATAACCCTCCCCCTTCCAATTTACCCAGGTCTGTTCAGCCTTGCTTGGTCTGAGATTAACTATGCTGCTCTTGATCTCTTGGAGATTTATTTATGGATCTCTGAAGCAAGGCCGATAAATGATCTTGTATAGCTGAACCGGAGGTTTTTGTGGGTGTGGCTCCCACAACCTAATTTTTGGCCATTTAATTTCTTGGGAAATTTGGTTCCATGTTGTTGAGCCAGAGGCACGGTGGCAATTTTGGGGTATCAGGAAGCCCGAAGGCACTTACCCCATGGGTACAGGTTGACCTGCTTGCTAGTTGTATATTGTACCCCTGGACAAATACTTTTTTTTTAATGTAGGAGTACTGCTATTTATTCAGCCACTGATTAGCTGATTGAATTGTGCATGAACTCCACCTTACTTTTTTTTTTTCATTTTTTATAATTTTATTTATTGAATCACCATGAGAGCAGTTACAAAGCTTTCGGGTCTAAGTCTCGGTCATACAATAAAACACCCGTCCCTTCACCAGTACCCATTCTCCACCACCAAAAACCCCAGTATACATACCCCCATCCCACACCCTCCCCCTACCTGTGAGGCAGATGATTTTCACATTACTCTCTCTACTTTGATCACATTCAATATTTCGACATCAGACCCACCATTATTATTTGAGATTTTACCCCAACACTCACATCTGCTGAAAAGGCAACAGTAGACAATTTGTGTTCTATTGCTGGTTATGAATAACATATGATGTTGCATGGCTGCATGGGGCCATGTGATTTTGAAATTTTGAAATTTTAACACTTAAATCTGGAGGGATTTCTGCCAAAAGCCACTGGGTTTCGAGATTTGCTCCTGAGTCTCTGGGATCATGGCCGTTGAGCAGCTTGATCAGGAGCCAGAGAGGCAGTTCGTGTGCGATGACTTGGGGTCTCGTTGGGACGGGGAGACCAGGACCAGCTCCACCCCCATCCTGTGAGCCCAACAAGTTTCATCACTGCGGGCCCAGACCTGACTGTTCAATGGCCTCTGGAGGATAACGGCCACCAAGCCACCAAGGGGGAGCAGGCGGAGGGACAACACCCTTTCCCCCCTGGGGTGGCCTGGCGACAGTAACCTACTGCGTGGTCCGGACGCATTTCTGCTAAAAGCCGCTGGGTTTCGAGATTGGTTTCCGAGTCTCTGGGATCATGGCCATTAAGCAGCTTGATCAGGAGCCAGAGAGGCCGTTCGTGGGCGATGACTTGGGGTCTTGTTGGGACGGGGAGGACACAGATACGTTTTAAAGCAGCATCTATGTTAAAAGTACACATAAAAATGGTAGACTTGGGGCAGAGCAGTAGTAGAGTGGGAAAGCACCTGCCTTTGCTCGCAGCCACCCCGGTTTGATCCCCAGTACCCTGTATGGTCCCCTGAGCCCCACCAGAAGTTAGCCCTGAGCACAGAGCCAGGGATAAGCCCTGAGCGCCACTGATATGGCCCTGAAACAAAACAAAAATTTTAAAAAGTAGATTTGGGGAAATGCTTATGTACTAAGAATAAAATCTATTGATGCTCCGGCCACAAGGGAAGATTCAGTTTGTCTAGAACTTTTTCGGTAGTTACTTATTATTTTGGAAAATTCTCCTGATTACTAGTGCCATTCATAGCACTTAGCACAAACTGAAATTACTGTTGTTTGTTTTTCTATTTGTTTACCCACTGAATAATAAGCTCCTTAGAAATGGGGACCTTGTGTCTTTGGTTCACCAGGACTCCTTACAACCTAAAAGAGAGTTGGCGCATTGGCGATCAGTGGCCTGTGAATGGTTGATGGTTGGACGTTGGAGGGGCTGTCCTGGCCCCTTCTGTGCTGCTGATGACAGCTATGCTAGTCTCCTACTCCAGGCTCCGTTCACAGCCTCTGGAACTTCTCCCCAGCCTGAATCTTGACTCTGAGTTCAAAATCCCACAGCTGCTGTGTACACTCCCTTCCAGTGTACTGCCGCAGCCCCTCTGCCTACAGTGCAGGGTCTCGGGCCAACACCCCCTCGTGTGCCTCTGTGCAGTCTTTCACCAAGTCCCGTTCCTGACTGCACTGGCTCCGGGGTGGGCCTGGGGTATGCACACAGATGTCCGAAAGCAAGAGCACCAGTGGGTCATACCGCTCCCCTGTGTTAGATGCGTCATACCCTTGTCTCAAGTTCCCAGGCTCTTACCTCTGTCAGTGCCAGCGGCTATTGGTCTCCTGGTGGGGCGTGTTGCCTGAGTCCCCCTGGGAATCACTGGGTTTTCTCGTAGCTGTGTTTTTCCTCTTGGCACCAAAGAAGTTAGCTGGGTTTCTCTGAGCCTCAGGAGGCTGTGGGAGATGGTTTACTAATGCCTGCCCATTATGAAGCCTGGCCCTGGCCTTGTGTGAGGGTCCCCAGGAAACTTAGTTTGGACCTGAGCATTCCAGAGACTTTTTCTACTTTTAGTGGTTCTCACAGTTAATGAGAAGTCATAAAGAGCAGAGAGAAACTGAATAAATAAAGTAGCATAACTTGGTAAATTTCTAATTACTCTCACAATCAGACAAATAGTCGGTTGGATCTGAGTACCCATATTAATTCATTGCCAGCTGTGGTTCCGTTAAAGTTTTTTGAAGGAGGTAATGCCCAGATTTCCTTTTCTTTTTTTCTCTTTAATATTTATTTTTGGGGATGTGTGGGCTTGGGCCAAACCTGGACAGGCGTTGCTCAGGGGACCATATGTGGTGCCTGGAATTGAAACGGGGTCAGCTGTACTGTCTCTCTGGCCCTCTATTCTCTTTTTAAAAATAAATGAGAAAACCAGAATGACAGCCCATTAGCAGAAAGTTGACCCTGTAAGAATGATGGGAAGCATTTGCCTTGGAGTGATATATGCTGTCACATTGTTGTTTTCATTTATGCTCTAGGAAAAGAGTAAAATTGATTCAGAACATCATATTAAGTACACATTTCATCCAGGTTTATACACTGCCTTCTTTGAGTTGTTGGCTGAAGACCGTCACCCTCAGCCCAGAGTCAGAGCAGAAACAGTCTGTTTTCTCTGGCTCCTCAGCGTCTCCCTCCTCCCTACCTTGGTTTTAGATTATGGAACCTCAAGAAGCATTTGCGATCTTTATCACTCTGGACTTCACGCTCTCACGTCCAAACCCGACTCCGGTGTTTCTGGGGGGACACTGCAGCAGCATTTCTCTGCCGAGCATGGGTTGCTGGAGGACACTGGCCGATTTCATCCTCGTTGCTCCCTGACTGCCCCAGGCAGCAGTCAGTCTTTGCTTCTCCGAATTGCAGAAGGTCAGTGTGCGGAGCTGCCCCAGGTCATCTGCTTGGCTGGCCTGAGCCTCAGTCCCCACAGTGCTGGCCCGGAGCCCCGAGCTTGCCAGCTATGTTCTTCCTTTCTCATGGTCATAAAAGGAGCCATTTCTCAGTTTGCCTCCAATGTCTCACAAGTTGTAGAGCACAGAAATATTTTGGAGTTTAAAAAATTCTGGGGGTGTGCCTGGCACGATCCCTGCCAGGAGTGCAGAATCGGGAGTAACCTCTGAACATCTCCAGGTGTAGCCAAAAAAACCAAGTAGTGGGCAGATCATACTACCCCAATCCAGGCAGTTTTCTCTCATTGATGTTTCAGAATGCTGCTGCTCAGATTTAACTTTGAGTTCTCCTGATGACATGCCCATATCACTTAGGATGCTTCTGTGACTGCTATGGTTACTGCGAGGAAGACCGTGCATTGGTGGGATCCAGTAGACCCTACTGAGTCAGGAGAGAGCCTTGCAGTAATGGGAACAGGGGAAAAAATTTTTTTGGCCACACCTGATGGAGCTCAGAACTTACTTCTGTCTCTCTGCTCGGGTATCACTCCCGGTGGTGTTGGGGGTTCCCTATGGGGGGGCTGTGTATCAGACCTGGCTCAGCCACATGCAAAGCAAGTACCTTACTGGTTCTGAGTCCGTAACGGAGACAATTTAGTGTGAAGGACCAGTCACTGACCAGAGATGGCAGTGTCAGGCTGTCAGCGTGAAGAACACCTTTCAGGTATAAGGAGCAGTGAGGTGTGCGCTCTCCCTCGGGGCTGAGTCTGCATGTTGGGGCGGGTGCCCGCGCGCTTATTGGAGAGGGCACAGCTCTGCTCACGGGGTGGCAGGGAAGCTAGTGAGCCAGGGTGAGGGAAACTGCTAGGCAAGACAGGTGCTGGCTGCAGGGCGGCCCTCCTGCTCTGAGTGAATCGCATCTGTGAGAAGGGCTGGCGCTGTGTCAGGTCCAGCACCCAGAGTGGGGCTGGGAGGCTCAGTTCCAGCACAGCCCCCACCAACCCCTTGGCAATGGGAGAAGACACTCGGGAATGGACACTTACCCTGGTTACACTGTACATCTTTGTAATTTCTGTAGCAGACAGTGAAACATGGATCATCGCAATGGCCACTTTGTAGCTGGCAGACTGGCCTGTATCTGACAGACTGCACAGGCAGCCTGGATCCATGCCTGGCACTGCTGGGGCTGTGAGCGCCATCAGGGGCGGCCTCGGAGCAGAATAGGAGCCCCTGGTCTTGCTGGGAAGCACCAAACCAAATATTAATAGACTGAAAATAGAGCTCCATAAAAAAATTATAGCATCGGTTTCTGATTTAATTTGGGGATGCTATAAATCAGAAATAAAAGTTTTCAAATGTTGCTTATAATGTCTTTACTTGTGTCTATACTTGTACATTGACATGCTAGTATATAATACTAAAGTGTTATAGCAGTTAAAAATGTTTACTGAACCTGACCAGTTTTTGAAACAAATCAAAATTCTTGCTGACTCAAGTCTTTAATATTTTGGGGGGGCATCCACCCATGGCCCCCCCTTTTTTTTTGCTTTTTGGGCCACACCCGGTGATGCACAGGGGTTACTCCTGGCTTTGCACTCAGGAATTACTCCTGGCGGTGCTCAGGGGACCATATGGGATGCTGGGAATCGAACCCGGGTCGGCCGTGTGCAAGGCAAACGCTCTACCCGCTGTGCTATCACTTAAGCACCCCCCTGTCCATTTTTAAAAACTTAGCCCAGGGGTCAGAGAGCTAGTACAGAAGGTAGGACGCTTGCTTTTTTTTTTTTTTAATTTTTTTTCTTTTTTTTGGGGGGGTCACACCCAGCAATGCACAGGAGTTACTCTTGGTTCATGCACTCAGGAATCACTCCTGGCAGTGCTCGGGAGACCGTATGGGATGCTGGGAATAGAACCCGGGTCGGCCGCGTGCAATGCAAACACCCTACCCGCTGTGCTATTGCTCCAGCCCCAGTTAGGACACTTGCTTTACACGCAACTGACCTGGGTTCGGTCCCTGGTACCTCATATGGTCCCCTGACCAGCAGTGATCCCTAGCCCTCAAACAAACAATAATAAAAATTTCAAAATACAAAGGTGTCCCATATGGTGGCAGCCACAGTTGAAGCGTTTGGTGCTGCTGGTGGCCAGGGCTGGGACCTGAGCAGAGCAGCGCTTGTCTTCTGTGCTAACTGGTTCAGCTTTTCTAGCTCTCCCAGTAATTTTGGATTTTATCTTTATTTTTATAATTTTTTTTATTTTTGGGTCGCACCCGGCGATGCACAGGGATTACTCCTGGCGGTGCTCGGGGGACCTGCCGGGAATCAAACCCAGGTCGGCCGTGTGCAAAGCCAACACCCTACCTGCTGTACTACCGCTCCAGCCCCAAGGAGAAAGATGGAAAGCTGTGAGTTAAGTATAACGGGAGTGGGGGGTGAAGTAGACCCCTGATGTTTGGAGGGAGCTGGGAGAAGGGGCAAGAAGCTGCCAAGCAAATGAAAACCAGGGGAAGCAAAGATGAGCCTGGGGGCCAGGCGGGCGGGCAAGCAGCAGCACACGCCTGGCCTGGGGTGCGCCGACCAGCGTCGCGGGGAGGTGAATCAGGCTGAGTGCGATTCAACGCAGGTTGTATTTACCCAGGCATATCAAACCATGTGTGCTTACCCAAGCTTATCAAACCTTGTGTACTCAAGTGTGATTTTTTAAAAGATGAGATTTAAAATGAAAATGTTAAAACCTCCTGATTATTCCTCCCATCTCTCCTGCAGCTTGGCTTTGAGTCCAGCTCACAGTCTTCCTACAAAGAAAAGGCGCTAAATGTCTCTCTTTATAGTTGATAACTTCTCTTTACCCTCTTTTAATGGATCGAGAAACCTGAAATCAAAGTTTATAGTTGTATTATACCTAGTTTGTGTTATACAGGCTTACAATGACATGATCATACCAGACAACAGAATTTCCTTTGGAGAGTTTACTTACAGAAGATTTTCTGCAATGTATGTTTTTTGTTTTGTTTTGTTTTTGTTTTGGGGGGAGGGATGAGGGGCTGGGCACACCTGAAGGTGCTCAGGGATCACTCCTGGTGGGCTCAGGGGACCACATGAGATGCTGGGGATCAAACCCAGGATGGAAGCATGCGAGGCAAGCACCCTACCCCTCTACTATCTCTCTGGCCCCTGCAGTGTGTCTTTTGGTTGTTGCCTTGGGTTTGGGTTCTGTTTTTTAGGCTACACCCGATGGTGCTAAGGGTTACTCCTGGCTCATTTTTTTTTAATAATTTATTTCTTTATTGAATCACTGTGGGAAAAGTTACAGAGCTTTCGGGTTTAGGTTTCAGTCATGTAAATATCAAACACATTTCCCTTTACCAATACTTATTTTTAACCGCGAACCCCAATAGAACCCCACCTCCCACCCCTCCCAATTCCTGTGAGGCAGATTAGTTCTAGTTAATACTCTATCTACTTTGGCTAGATACATTGTTTCGATAGAAGATGCACAATTATTGTTTAGAGTTTAGGACCCCCCCCCCCCCCAATCAGACATGCTGAAACAGCGTTGTCAAATGATTTGCTTTCTACAACTTGGTTTAAGAATAAAATGATGTCGCGGCTGCGCGGTTTTGGATTTCTGCTATTTTACTTATTACCCCTGGAAGAATTTCTATTAAAAGTTAGATAGTTAAGAGATTGGTTTCTGTGCTCTGGGGCCGTGGCCGTGCCGGAGAGCCGCTCGTGGGGGGCAGCTGGCGACCTCAGTCGGGCGTGAAGGACGGCCCATTACGCCCCCCTTCCCATGAGGTCCCTGCCGCTCCCACCACCCCCGGCTCAAACCTGCTGTCCACAAGGCTCCCGTGCGGCCGCCATCTTTCTTTCCAGACAGGAGCGGGCGAACGGGTCAACACCCTTTCCCCTCCGGGCAGGCATGCTGGCGCGGTTTAACACATAGTCCATTTGCTTTTCTGCTCCAAGCGGGTGGCTCTCTGTGCTAAGTCCTTGTGCCTCCGGGGCACTCCTGGCTCATTTTAACTGAAATCTTGAACCACAAATGCCCTGAGTAGAGACAGTGTTTTCCTGGTGTCCGCGGGCAGAAGACAGCAGCAGCCCTGCCACCAAGTCCTTAAAGCACCAGAAGGTGCTGGTGCCAAGGGTGGCTGTTAGAGTGGGTGTCTACTGCAGTCAGTGTAGCCGTTTGTAACAGGACAGCCCAGTCAGAGGGGCGAAATAGGGCTGTTAGCACAGTGGTCACTTACAGACTAGCTCATGGCACTAATCGAGAAGCACCTCTGAGCCACTTATTTTTTCAATGACCCGGGGCTGAGATCTCCAAGCCTGCACAGTTTGGGACTGGACCTGCCAGTAACTAGACAGTTACACCCACCAACTGCCGTGTAACTCCAACAACGGCCAGGATCCAGAGATCATCACACTCAGCTCCTGGGAGAGAACAAGACAGAGTCTCCTACCCTATGCCTGACTGTCTCCACCAGGGCCCAACAGCTAAAGACCACCGAGGCCCAGCCAAGGCCTTGCTGGGACCACTCTCCACACACTTGGATGAGCCTCATGCATAAAAGAACTGACAGAGGAACCCAGGTGTGTGGGACCCGGGGCTGAGATCTCCAAGCCTGCACAGTTTGGGACTGGACCTGCCAGTAACTAGACAGTTACACCCACCAACTGCCGTGTAACTCCAACAACGGCCAGGATCCAGAGATCATCACACTCAGCTCCCAGAAGCGCGCGGCCGCATTCGCGGCCACGTGACATCTTATCATCTCATTCCTAATTTGGTCAAACTGGCAGGCTACCAAATGTAACATGCCCACACGGCAGAGTCTGGCAAACTCCCCGTGGTATACCCAATATGCCAAATACCAGTAACAATGATGGGTCTCATTCTCATAACCCTGAAAAAGCCTTGAATATGGCACTTTAAAAAAAAAAAAATCTCAGGGCTAGGATGAAGAAGACATTACTGGCACCTGCTCGAAGCAATCGACGAACAACAGGGTGGTCGTGATCGTGATCGTGATTGAAAGTGGCAGAAACTATACACTGAGCCCCGGAGGCGGGAGAAGCCGCCGTCACCGAGGAAGAGCTCTGCTAGCACTTGATGGGAAGCCCCTGTTTGAGTGGCATGTGGGGCTGGACACAGCAGCCCAGGCAGGAAAGGGATTCCCACCCGTGCCTCCCTGGGCCCTACTGACCAGTCCCCATTGCTCTGAGCTGCTGCTAAGCAGACTCTCCCTTTCCCACAGGGAATCGGCCAAAATTCTTCCGTGGTCTGGTGCTGTCCTTTGACTCTGTAACCACATTCAGGTGGTTTGATGATGATTTGCAGCTTCCATTATGCTGACAGGAGGTGACAGCAGTGGCCCCAGGGTTCTCTGTCCTCTTGCCCTGGAACTCTGCACCTTTACCATGAACATTCCTGGGAAGTGGCCTCTCGGGTGCTGAACAGAGACTGTCCCCGAGCGCACTGGAGGGACAGGCCTTTCTGAGCAGAGCACTCAGCTGCTGGTGGCGCCTTCCGTTCCTGGACCCCTTTCAGAAATGCCTACCTCCTGCCTTGGCGGGGCAAGTGTAGCATGGTCATTTTCATGAGATCCCAAGACCGAGTGAGAAAATGTTTTGTGTCTGTAAGTTTTTATTGTGGTTTGCGTGACCTCTTGCCAGTAGAGAAAGGGAAGAATAATGGTCTTGTCAGCCAGGGGGCAGGACACACAGCTGTGGGAAGGTAGGGAGACCCCCACGTCGGAGCTGCAGCACCTGCTGCCTTGGGCTGTGCCCCTCCAGCGTCCTCTCCCGAGTAGGCTCCCAGCCCGTCGCCAGGGACCATGTGGTGCAGGAGAAGGCGAGTGGGTACCTGGCCCCTACACAGTACCAGCTACATGCTTGGGCATTGTCTTCCCTGCCCGAGGCTCCGTGGCTTTCCCCACCGGGCTCTGTGCTCTGGCTTCTGGTCAGGAGGCACTTAGCAGGCTGCACCAAATCTCTGACCAAGAATGCCCAGCAGTCCGGAGCGAAGGCCAGGGGCCCCTGAGCATCGACAAGGGTGGTCCCCAAATTGAAAACTTAAAAACAAATGAATAAAGCCAGGGCCTGGGGCTGGAACTCAGCATAGAGCACTGGCCTTGCGCATGGGTGGCCCTTTCCCACTACACTTACACACGCTTATGATTCCAGACTCAGTGCACTGCAGTGGCTCCTCCGCAGATTCTGATTTGTTGAGCCAAGGTAGAACCCAGAAATGTCCATTTTTCACCAAGACACTCTCCCCTACATAAAGTAACAAAATAGGAGACCTACACCCAAGAATAGCCGAGATAAGTACCAGGAGGTTTACTCCATGGCTTGGATGCCAGCCGCACACTCTAGGGGTAAAGGCAGCTCAGATAGAGAAGGGAGCACCAAATAAAGGGTGTTGGGAAGATCTGCCCAGGATGGGAAACGCATGCTGAAAGTAGACTATAGGCTGAACATGATTGCCACTCAATGCCTCTTTTGCAAACCACAATACCCAAAATGAGAGCAAGAACAGAAGGGAATGCCCTGCCACAGAGGCAGAATGGGATGTGGGGGAGAGGGGGGTGGGAGGGATACTGGGATCCGTGGTGGTGGAGAATGGGCACTGGTGGAGGGATGGGTACTCGATCATTGTATAACTGAAACCCAAGCACAAAAATTTGTCAGTCTACAACTGTACCTCATGGTGTTTCACTAATAAAAAAAAAAAAAAGACACTCTCCCCTGTGGTCGTGAAAGTGATGCCATACAGCAACACTGAGGGTCATTGGTCGGGCTGGACACAGAGGCACTGCACCCACCTGGCCGGGTGGCCCCTGCCTGAGTGAGCAGCTGCCACACCCAGTGTGGGAAGAATTCAGGCGCGACCAGCTAAGTGGCTCAAGAGATTAGGGTGGCTTGTGGTAGTGGTGGGGCACGTGTGCCTGGGGGGAGGCGGCAGCCGGGCCTCTGACGGCTCTTCTCAGAGTGCTCTTCACGGGTTCCTTCCGTGAGACTCCAACTTAACAGCTGCAGCTGATGCCCTGTGTTGGTGGCAGATCATCATGCTAACACCACTTATCTCTCTCTTTGATAGGGAGAAAGAACAAGAAACACAAAAAGAGGAACGTTTGATGGAAGAAAAGAAAAAGAAAAAGCAGGAAGAAAAGAAAAAGAAGGAAGGTGCTCAGAAAAAGGTAAACAGGTCTTCAGAGTCCCCCACCTCTGTCTGCCCCATCTCCTTTGCATTATCGAGCCTCTACTTCGCTGCCCCCGTGCTACTCCCTAAGTCTAAAATTAGCAAAAACAAAAAAAAAGGTGACTAGTGAAATGAATACAGGTGAGACTAGAAATACTTGAGTTGTATTTTAAGTTTAATTTTAGTTGGTGATAAAGAATATTCATTCACAGTAAAGAATATTTGCTGATTTTATTAGAAAAGCTAGAAATAATGTTTTTATAGCTTTGGCAAGTTATAAATTTTATTAAATTATAAATTCTATTAAACATATAATATCCTCCGATTAATCTTCTCATCCGGCTTTAGTTTGATGGTGTTTAACCAAGTCATGCTATTCATTTTGATTCCTGCCTAGTTTAGTATTTTGTATAGTTAAAACTTTAAACATACGGGGCTGGAGCAATAGCACAGCGGGTAGGGCGTTTGCCTTGCACGCAGCCGACCCAGGTTCAATTCCCAGCATCCCCTGAGCACTACCAGGGGTAATTCCTGAGTGCAGAGCCAGGAATGACCCCTATGTGTCGCTGGGTGTGACACAAAAAGCAAAAAAAACTAAACTAAACAAAAAAAACTTAAACATACATTCTGATTATATTAAAGAGAGGAGTCTACATGGATTAAACATATGAGCGTACATGTATGTATATAGCCTTTAGGTCATTATTGGTATGTAACCATAATATGTAGACAACTATACATTTTTCCGATTATAAATTTTAAGAAATTAACTGGACAAAACGTGGTTTTAACGTTTGCTTATAAATGTTCATAGGTGTGTACATTCTACACATTATTTTTTTCTAAGGAGTTTCTGGTTTTTTTTTTTTTTTAGGCTGCTGATCAAAAAACCAAAGGTAAGTTTATTTTATTTGGGGGCAGGGGTTACTTCTAAACGTAGTATTAGTATCATGTTTTTATAATTAAAATGACTTTAAAAAATTTTAATGGTTTAAACACAAAGACTCTAAGCCTACCCTTGAATCCTTGGTTCTATTTTTTATTATTCACTGTGAAATTCCTAATTTATCACTGGTTTTACATCTGCATCTCATTGGCATTTGCTTAATCTAAAATGCCTAAAGAATTTTACCCAAGTTTTCTAAATGATGCCTTGTCGTTTCCCTTGGTTTGATGACCACCAGGCATGTACTTTAAAATGTTGAAGTCAATCCAATTTGAAGAACAATTAAATATTTTAAATTTCCAATTTCCCCTTGCTAACTATAGTAGAAACAAAAAACTATGTTTTTCCTGTGTTCCTGCCTTTCTTTTTTATGTTGCAAAAAGTTCCCTTTTTTATTTTCCGCATTCAAAATCTGCGGAGTGTTGCCTGGTGAGCATTGCTGGGAGTGTCACGATTGCTTAGAAGGAGCAGGATGAAGGCCAGGCCTGTAGGTCTCTGTGTGGACTGGCTGTGTTTCGGGGTGTTCCACAGAGTGTGCAGGACACACACTGGAGCCGCTGGCACAGCTGCTTGGTTGGACACTTCTTCACGCCTCCTGTCTCACTTCAGCATGAGAGGTGGCGTGCCTTACAGTGTCTTCAGCGCTCACCAAGAAAGAAAGGAAGGACTTGGCACCTGGTGGATCGTTGGCACTCAGGAGAGGTTCGCCAGCGACGATTCATTGTTAGGCTTGTTTCTTTGATGGCTTGGGGCCAACCCCAGCTGTGCGCAGGACTTACTCCCGGCTCTGTGCTCAGGGATTACTCCTGGTGAGCTTGGCAGGACCATATGTGGTACTGGGTATCGAACCCAGGTCAGTCGCATGCAAGGCAGACACCTTCCTGGCTTTCCGGTCTCTCTGGCTCCCATTGGCAGTAGTTTGTGTTTCTGCGCTGTGTGCATGGACATAGGCTCTCTGAAGACAGTCGCTCCTTTCACCTTCTGGTTGGACAGGACAGCAGCTCCTCACAATGAGGAGAGCCAGGCAGGGCTTTGCTCTTGCGCAGTCCAAGTGCTGAGGGTGGGGCTTGAGGGCACCCTTAAGAGTGCCCACCTGAGTCTCGAAGAGAGGTGGGTTCTTGGGCATTGGCAGTGAGTAGAAGCGCCCTCTCGGAAACCTGCAGTCTCCTCCGGGAACTGCATGAATTTGCATCATGCTTTTCAGAAGGGTTCAGAGGCCTGTAGTATTTCAGTGTATAATTTTGAATAAGTAGCAGTGCTTTCTTATGGTTGTCATCTAAAAGTACAGAATTATTGTTCTGAATCAGCCGTTTTCTTTAAAAAAAAAACACACACATTTTGAGTTTTTACCACCTAATTTAGTATCAGCTGTGTTCTGTTGTCATTGTTTCTGTAATTGTTTTCCCTTCAAATGGTAGCAAATTGCTTGTGATTTATAGTGACAGTGAGTTACATTGTCCTGCCACCTTCAGCAGTTATTATTTTCTATTACTATCCTGATAAGTATTTTCATCGCTGACTCTAAACTCTGCTGGGTTTTTATCTTTCTCTTTTTATCTTCTCTAAAACACGGCTCCGTTGGGTGCAGTTTGTCAGCAACTGTGCTAACAATAACTGCCCGGGAGCAGCACCCCGGCATGATCGATGCCCTCCTACACCAGAGGCTCCCAGACTTCCTTGGCCTACGCCCCTGGAAGCCCACTTCAAATGAACAGACAGAAAGCATCCCCGTTGTACTGGAGGCTACCACCACCCTCTCCAACATGCCAATACCCCCGGGAGGGCAGGATCTGCCACTTTGGGAGAAACCCTCTTTTATTTTTTAATGCTTTTTGAATTGTAAATAATCTCATGATGCCTGATTGAAAATTCCTTAACATTATCAGCATTTCAGACTCTTCATTACCCAAATGGAGCGATAGCACAGTGGTAGGGCGTTCGCCTTACAAGCGGCCAATATGGCCGACCCGAGTTCGATTTCTCTGCCCCTCTCGGAGAGCCCGGCAAGCTACCAAGAGTATTCGATATGCCAAACACAGTAACAACAAAGTCTCCAATGGAGACGTTACTGGGCCCTCTCGAGCAAATCGACGATCAACGGGAGGGCCTTTACCTTTACCTTTACCTATCAGCATTTCAGACTCTTCATTACCCAAATCAAGCTTAAGCGCCGTCATGATGGAAGTTCTGAGTTTCAGGCTGGACATGTGTTTTCCAAATGGAGCCTGACTGGACCATGAAGTGCAGGTTGGGGACCCTCCCGGCTTCTGCAGAGCCCAGACTGCCTTTCTGCACATCAGTGTGGTCGCAAGGGCAAGCTGCAGGCCAGTCAGATCCCGTGCTCCGGTTCCACACGGGGTGCAGCCAGCAGGTCTCAGGGTATCTGCCTTCCTGCCAGACCCTCTAATGTACTGACAGCCGGTCCATGTTGGCATGGTCTCAAGTGCCCACGCGTAAACATGACTTGCCAGGAAACAAGTTATAGATCTAACATGGGTCCAGAATTCCTGGACTGACAGCATCCAGAAAAGGCGGCAACCCACACTTAGTCACTTCCATGTCTCAGTGTTCAGCTGTGTGCTTCCAAACAGTCCTTTGCTCGAAGCGGGCTGTTGAGGGAGGTGGAGTCACTCAGACAAGGCCACGGAGAGGCTGAAGCTGCTCTGACTCCAGAGCCAGCTGTGTCCTGGCCAGATGGCACAGGGGCCAGGGCGCTGTGGTTAAGAACTAGCTGTCTGCCGCTTGGAGCAGAAAAGCAAATGGACTTGTGTTAAAACGCACCACCAAGCCTGCCCGGAGGGGAAGGGGCGTTGACCGGCCCGCCCGCTCCTCTCTGGAAAGAAAGATGGCGGCCGCACGGGAGCCTTGTGGAAAGCAGGTTTGAGCCGGGCTCGGGGGAGCGGCGGAGACCTCATGGGAAGGGGGGCTTTGTGGGCCGTCCCCCACGCCCCACCGAGGTCGCCAGCTGCCCCCCACGAGCGGCTCTCCGGCACGGCCACGACTCCAGGGCACAGAAACCAATCTCTTAACTAGCTAACTTTTAATAGAAATTCTTCCAGGGTCAATAAGTAAAATAGCAGAAATTCAAAACCGCGCGGCCGCGATAGCGACCTCATTTTATTCTTAAACCAAGTTGTAGAAAGCAAATCATTTCACAACGCTGTTTCAGCATGTCTGATTGTGGGGGGTGGGTCGTAAACTCTAAACAATAATTGTGCATCTTCTATCGAAATAATCTATCTAGTCAAAGTATATAGAGTATTAACTAGAACTCATCTGCCTCACAAGAATTGGGAGGGGTGGGAGGTGGGGGTCTATTGGGGTTCGGGGCTAAAAATGAGTATTGGTAAAGGGAAATGTGTTTGGTATCTACATGACTGAGAACTAAACCCGAAAGCTCTGTAACTTTTCCCACAGTGATTCAATAAATAAATAAATTATAAAAAAAAAAAAAAGAACTAGCTGTCTGAGGGAATGCACGAACTGGATACTTCCCCCCCCTTACCCATTCTTGTTGTGGTGTCTGGGGAGGACGGATGGATGGGAACACACACACACACACACACACACACACACACACACACGCACACACACACACACACACACACGCCTCTGCGATGCTCAGGGACACTTGACTGCCATGTACCAGAGGTCATAGTTTGCTGGATTGAAATGGCAGTGTCACTGGGATTGCACTCGGTGTGTGCAGTGGTGCCGGGACTCCAGCTCTAGGCCTCTGGATCCAAGGATGACATCCTTAAGAGAGAGGCTGCAAGTGCATCAGACTGTATGATGACTGTGCCAGTTCCCATGGAGGAGGTTTGGATTGACTGGATTTTGTTGATGAGTTTGAGTTCACAGTCGACCCAGGCCCTCGGTGATTTTCTGTACTGCTGCTGCCGTATGCTCAGCACCGGCGTGGATCAGCAGCGCGTCCGTTACTGAGCACTGCACGGAGGTGACCTGATCACTCAGTAATGAAAACTTGCCCTCTTCATATTTGGATTTATTTTTAACATTTTTAAATAGAGAGTTTGCAGTGCCTAGGATGGAGCCCAGGGCCCCACACTTGCAAGGCAAAGACCCTCTTGTTGAGCTATATCCCAACTCTCTTTTAAATATTTTTAGAGAACTTTGTGGAACATTTGTGTGTGTGTGTGTGTGCGTGTGTTACACTTACCTTTTTCTTTCTCCTGCAGAGTAGCCTATTCTATTCATGCTATTAAGGTTTATAAGATTTTTATATCTGGACATAAACATTGAAGTATGACTATAGTCTAAGTTAAGACACTAGTGCAGGGCTAGCATGTGACTCCAGTAGTAAAGCATTTGTAAGGCCTTGGGTCTGATCCCCAGTGCTGTGTGGTTCCCTGAGCACTGCCAGGTCCAACCCCCCCCCCCCCCCCCCCCCGCATTTAAAGGTGAAAGATAGATTCAGAACTCTCAATTAGAAATCTTTCTGATCAACACAGTCTAACATATGGTTTGTTTCTTCCTCTAACTGAAAATGAGGTGTTGAGAAAATTAAAATGAAATTTCTTTTCTTGCAATTCTTTCAAATTCTGACTTGGAGCTCTTTGTTGACTCATTTTTTCTGAGATTCCAGCCCGGTGAGGATGTTTGTTCCCCGGTCAGGTGGAAGCCGAGCTTTCTCTGCTTTCTCTGGTTACTATAAGACATTTCGGTGACTTCACTCGGCCCTTCCTGCTGCCCCGTCCTCTGTCCTCTGTGCTCCCTGAGGGTCTCTTGGTGAGGGCAAGGTTGAGGGAGGGTGATGGTAAGGGGAGAGTGAGGAGAGGGTGCCAGGCAGCGAGAGGGTCAGGCGAGGGTGAGGCTGAGAGTGATGGTGGGTGGAGGGTGATGTGATGCTGTGTTTAGGCTTGGTGCTGGCAGGGACCATCAGGGCCACGCGGGCAGCGTGTGAGGGGCCTTGTGGTGCCGAGTTTGAAC